TTACTAATTATAATGAATAATTATCTTTATGTGGCACTGAGGATCGAACCCAGGGCCTCACATATTCCTTACAAAGAAAATTGATGAATTCCCTCATTGACCCTAAAACTAAAGGAAAGGCCCAGCTATTCCATTTTGCTTTCCWGAAACTTCTCAACATATCATTGTCACCTATTCCTAGGGTAACTTCTCATAATTTTTATTAAAACAATTTCAATATGCTGAATATGCAGACAATGAAAATACTAAAAGACTGAAGACCACCAAAACCAACATCATTAACTAGAGTTGGAATTTCCTCAGTAAAGTATGTTTGCTATGAACATRCACCTTACAAGTGTTTTGATATCCCCTTATCACATGGACTCTTTTATTCACCATTATTTACACATTTTATAGGTATTGATAGAGGCATTCAACTGCATGCATAACTTTTTCAAAATGAAATTAACTTTTTCCTTTACCAAACAGTTTCCATCAGTCATGTATCAAATAGGAAACCTTTTCATCTGGAACTTCATTAACTATACGTTATTTTCAATGATGGTTGTAAATGAATCTATATATTCTCTATTATACTGTACAGTATGGTAGAGATTTTTAAATGATCCATAGCACACCACAAATCAATAATAGTACATTTCAATTTACTACCCATCCCAATGAAACTKCCATGTTCAATATGCTATATACATTTCTGTAACTGGGATAGTTACCAGAGACCACTGTTCAGTAAATTCTGAGTACCATCTGGTGAAGGAGAAAAAAACATATGCCAGCCACAACAAAATGGGTTTTTACTGATACAGACTTCTCCAYAGCATCTGCTTCTCAAAGGGAGGAAACAATATTGATCTACCCAATCTTAACCTATTTAACCATGGAGAACATGCCATCTCTCTTTTTTTTAACATTTAAAGCAAGATTTATTTTATTTTCTGATTGTTTTTCTCATACAAGATCATCTTGCATGTGTATAGAAATTTAAAAACAAAGACATTTCAGAATATACCCCTCTCCCCCCAAAAAGCCAATTGTATTGAAATTGTAATAGGCTGGTCCTCCATTTCCATAGCCTACACCTCTAATTCATCCAGTCACTGTTTCCATGTGCTTACTCACTCTACCCTCTTGCTTTCCCTCATTCTCCCTTTCTCCCTCCCTCCCCATCYTTTCTTCCTTTCTTTAATTCCCTCCTTCCTTCTTAAACTTTGAATAGCTACACTATCTTTCTAATTGGCCTTTCTAGTAACAGAACTCCTTCTAATGTCCCTTACCTGAATTAAAACTCTTTCTTGAAATGATGGTAAGYCTCTAGAAAGAACATCTTACACTTGATTCATCAAGTTCAATTCCTAAGGCTCTCAAATCTCTCTTGGTATGTTGAGGTCACTATTAGTTAATACTCTATAAATATAATTGCCACTGACTGCTTGTGCCATGGATGCTGTCCAAGTATACAGTTGAAACTTATAATATTGATACTCCAGGAAACTGTCAGTTGATTGTTTGATGCATTTAAAGCCTTGATGCATCAGGCTTCCACATGGTCTTTTTCAAAGTTTCAGAGGCAAACAGTTCATATTCTTAGACAATTTTTAGGAAATAGTTCATATTCTTTGACAATTTTTAGGTAATAGTTCATATTCTTAGACACAATTCTGTTATCCTGAATATCTTAATGGCTTAAGGTTCCTTCCACATTAGCATGTGGATTAGTCAAAAGAGCAAAGGAAAGTTCACCCTATGAGAAGGATAGTTGGTGACACGGTTTTTCCATACTCTTACTCAGCTAAGTCACAACATACCCACTTCAGCTCAGGGGTAGGATTTCTCTCCAGGATAAAWAGAATCGATGTGATAAGTATTAAGCAATAAAATCAGACACAAATGAAAATTCCAACCAGCTAATATTGAAGTGGGGCATCAACTATATGTGATATCTTTTTTGGTAAATAACAAAACCAGAGTTCCCTTGTAGTTTAACTTCATTGTTGATCYCCTTCTCAGAGAGGGAAAAAAATCCAAGATCTTCTTCCTGAGTTGGCAATTAGTTGGCATTGTATCTGAAATAGTTGAGTGTTTTTCTCCTGCTCTGAGWCATATTTTTAGGAAAAGAGTAATGCATCCCACCTTCATTACACATTTCCATYTGCCATTTTTTTTACCTGTTTATTACCAGATTTTACTACTCAGATGTGTCTCTACTGCTTACCTACATTGAAAAATGGCTGGAATAACCCTGACTGGGCTTCTAGTCTCTCCTTTCCTTGGAAGAAAGAGAAGAAAGGTAAGTAATGATTTAACACATACACACACTTCTAGGCAATTAATCAGTCTTAGTTTAGACACATGAGGTGAGTTCTATCCAGTCCTTCATTTMCTTACCAGTATGCAAGTCAAATTCAGAGGAAATGAAATAGTACCCTTAATAGAGATGCCTTCTCTTGTTGGGATATGCCAGATAACACAACTAGATGTGGCAAGGTCAAAGACAATTTATGTTGGAAAGATAAACGTGTGTTAGTGCATCATTGTTCTCCACTTGCTCTACAAGCATGTGCCCAAAACACTTCCAGTGGTTTTCCTCTGGAAAATATCTACACTAAATTGATTCATTAAATATTTAATTATTCATTAAATATTCATTAAATAAATATTAAAATACTTATTGATAAGTCCTTCATGTGCTTATCAATAAATATTTTAATCACCCAGTCTAGTTCTTCTTTGTGGGGAAGGGAGTTCAGATACTTTTTAATAGAGGAGATTTTAACTTTGTTTTCATTTTTATAAACACATAGGACAATCAGGCACTATTGCCCCCATTGGATGGAATCCTGGGTGCACACTCTTTTAATAACTGGTTCTATGACCAGGTGACAGAACCCATGATGACAGGAGTTTTACCTCATCTTTATTGTTTCCTATGACCCCTGTGAAGTTATCTTCAAGTTAAAAAACATGCCATCTTTTCTCTTATGACTTTCATTGTCAAATTACCATGGTCAGATGTACCTTTTTTCTGACCTCTTTGGTTTGCTTTTCTTGATTGTACCATAGAAGGACTCATTCCAGGTTTTGATCAAACTGTTACTAAATGAAGGATATGGAAATTGGTTAAGTTTTTATGATGCTACGTCTCTTGGCTCATTTTTATACATATACAACGGATCTGATGAATTATAGCCTAGAAGACTGAGTTTCTTCACAATATGTTGTTCCAAATCTTTTAAGTGTCCTAAGATTTGGCTAGAATCAAAGGTAAGCAAAGTCAACATCCAACATGTGAGTAACAGACATCTTCCAGAGGTTAGTCTGCACATGTCTGCCTGGTACTTCCTGAATAATTTGTGCATCAGCATAACATGTCTTTAATTGTGCTAYTTCAGCTACAGCTCTTCCTTTGTAAACCTCTCAAAACCTCTTTTGTTCCAGACCCCATTAGAAGTCATACTTTCTTTAGATTGCTTGATATGTAAAGGTCAATAATATCTTGGGTGCAATAAATGTATCCTTCAAAATCCAACTAGCCCTACAAATCATTGTTCCTTCCTTATTAGTATGGCCTGACAAAGATGCAGTATATACCTACCAAGAAGTACATATTTTCATTATTGTCTGCTTAAAGTTTTCTATGATACACTCCCAATTTTYCCCTTCAAAATTGAACTGAATGCCTTGTCACAGTACTCATTTCTGCCCCAGGTTCCTTTTCTGGTGAGGAATTTATCATGATAGTATAATTATAATGAATCAATTTAGTGTAGATAGATATATGATCAAGTAAAAGTGCATCTCTCTAGTTAGCACACAAGAGTTTACTAGGATGGTGGATACTAGGATGTACAATGTATACTGTGACTCTTTCTACGAAAAAGTAAATTAAGCCTGGCTTTCTTTTGATAAGAGGAAAATTATACAACTTTGAAATCCTACAAAATTTTTTTTAAAGTGAACTTTACTTTTTGACATATTTACAAAACTTTTTTTGTCACAAATCCTATAATCTTTGAGGGGAATTAGATGCAAAACATACCGATGCATATTATTGCATATTATTGTTCCTTTCTAGCTCAGTTAATCCAACAGTGGCCATGTCCACAGTTAACTCTTACACTATTAAATCACCATCCTTGGCAAGGCACAACCTGAAATGGGATGATCTTTTTTTTTTTTTTCTTGCTCCCTGGACAAAGTGATTGTTCCTGGGTGGAGACACAGGACTCAGACCAGATCAACTACAGTTCTTTTGTACAATATTCCATAATGAAGCTAGGAAAGAAAAGTGCTCTTTCTTTTCTGATCACAAAGTAGAATAAATGTGAGCCTGATGCTTGGATACAGAAGACTTAAGATTTATCAAGAATGCTAGCCTGAGAGAATGACAGCAACACACAAACTTGAGGAATGAAAAGGGGCGTGTGAGAAGAGACAAAGGTACAGACAGATAGATATACAGAGAGAAAAAACATCATCCCTGAGGCAGTTCAATCCCAGAATTTTCTATGGTTTGACTGACAATCCTGTTTTTATTCATATGCTTCAGGTTGAAGTTTTTCACTTGTTAACTAAAGTGGCCATAAAGAGTGATCAAACTATAGTCCCTGTCATTATTAATGTTGTGTAACCCTCATTATATTAATCACACATTCTGGAAAAGAGGTTCAGATATTAAACAAGAAACAATTTTAAGGTAAAATATACAAAAACATTAAGTTGTATATATTAAGTGGGGACCCAAAGAGAATAAAATTAAATACATAATAAATGAGATAACATAAGACCAGTTTTGATACTCAGCACTGCAAATAAATAAATAGATAAATAAAATGAGGCAAAATTAAGACAAGGTAAAGATTAGAAGATGCTGACAAATCTTATTAAAATAAACTTTTTCCCCCCAAAATCACACATACTCAAGTTAGATCTAGATTATATAAATGATATTTTATTTCTCATAGATTACAATATAAATCCAAGAAAAGTTATGACTATCTTTCACAATTAATGATAAAATTTTGCTGTTCCTAGTTATTGCAGAGACTATGATTTTGCAGATACTATTAATCCTAGAAATAAATAGAATCCACCCTTTTACTCTCAGCTACTTCTCTCTTCCCTGTTTTCTCCTTTCTCAGTTTTAATCTTTCATGATGTGGCAAAATTTTCAATTTGTGTAAGATTCACATATTTATATTTTTCTTTGCATACTTGATAATTCACTTCTGGGCACTGAAAAAAAAAGGAAACAAAATATTTCTAGTGGATTACATGGTGAAAAGAAACTGGAGGGAAGCGGGGCATTGGATAACCAGAGTCTAAACACCTGACTTTAGAAGCATGTACACCATGGAGATGAAGAGCCCAAATAGCAGAGTCAGGCCAGCAAAGTTAGTGTATGAGACTTTCTCTATTGTTTGAGAGTAAGATAGAATTGGAGAGGATATAATATTATAATTTGATTTTCCAAGAACTAAAATAACATAAAATAAAACGAAATATAGAATAAAATAAAACAAAACCTCTGTCTCATCTTTGATTGTAACAGTACAACATATAGTATGTGCAGGTTGATGTAAGAGAACACACATGCCAAATCTGAGACCATAAACATAAAAGACATATTCTCTTGCTAGCACAGACCATATTGCCTATAGAGAGAGGAATATGAGGGAGAATAGTCCAAAAATTCAAGTCATAAGTATAAGATCAATACTGTCTTGGGTGCAATAATCCAACTAGCCCTACAAACCATTGTTCCTCCCTTATTAGTAGGGTCTGGAAAAGATGCAGTATACACACACCTAGAAGTACATATTTTCAGTACTCAATGCATAAGTATAAGATCATAAGGAAGGGACAAATAATCAGAATACACCTGATAAGATACAGTGCTGATTCAATCCAGTTCTAAGTATATCTGATGCTATGTCTCTTAGCTCACTTTTGTAAATATACAACTGGGATATGTATATTCTGATATGATGATGTATAGTATAGAAGACCAAATTTGTTCACATTATGTTGTTCCAAATCTTTAATGGTGTTCTAAGCCACTGCTATAAGCAAAACATAAGTAAAGTCAACATCTAACATGCATTTATTCTAATCAGGACTTAGTGGAAGTCACTCAGGTAACCACTAAAGGTTCAAGATATTTTACCTGCTGGCCTTTTCCTTCAGAGAATCTTACCCAAAATCTACTTTCTGAAATTCTCTTTCTGCTAGCCTGCTGGATGTGTTGTTGCCATGTTAGCAGTTTCCATAAAGGAGTTATGGTTCCACCTACTATTTATAACATGAGCATCCTTTTTCAGTTTATGCACACAAATAGATGCATCCAAGCAGTGGGCAAGGCATCATCAGCCTTTGGATTCTAACCTTTGTGAGACAACAACCACGTTTTATCTGGTGGCACTGATATGTTCTATTTGAAGTCTTTCACAGAATCCCGCACACTTCTATGATTTAATTCCACTCACAGTGCATTTTAATTATATGATCATGTGGATCCTATCTTCAGTGAATGTAAAGATAATGACCATAGCATGAGTCATAAAGATACAGAMATTACCCCCGATGAAAATCCAGATTTCCTGCATTCTCAGATATGCTGCCTTCAGTTCTACACATTGTATGGACTTAACTTTGCCTTTTTCAAACAACTTTTTACCATCAACAGGGTGAGAGAGATTAGGCTTCCAACATGCATTATTTCTCTCAGTTAAGGGATTCCCTTCAGGAAACCAGGACGCTTATGTTGCTTTAGTAGGATGAGAACCATAGGTTCTGACTTTTGGTAATAGAAACTGGCAATTATGATGGTTCTATCGCCTGCCTCAAAGGCAGAGCTGCATCWTGCTTATGGATACATCTTCCCAAAGACACCCTTAAGTTACTATTCCCTTTCCATTATATCCACCACTGGATCCATTATTACTGGAATCTCTCTCTGACATTACTCAAGCCTAATTAGTGTTTCAGGTCTCTTACTACTTGGATTCCCTTCAATAGTGGGAGCTATTGTCAAGGACGTCTTTTGAAGTGACTCTATTAGTTGCTGCCATCAGGTAACATACAGGTCAAACTACCCAATCCAATTCTATTTCCCAAGTAAAGAAACATATTCTGAGACAGGAGGCCAAGGATAAAACAAGGGATTTTCAGACCGTGAGAATGACAGAAATGGATCATTTCAGAAGTTTTATTTTAAAACAAGACAGGGAGGAAGAGAATTAGTATGAATTMTCCAGAATATATTGAAGGAGGTAAAGAGGAGCTAGTGGGTTAAAGGGCAAATCTAATCACAGGGCAATACTCACAAGGAGACAGAGAACTGCAAGGTATACAATAGATCCAGGAAGGAAGGAAGTAGCCAAGTAGATACTTTCAAACTTCTACACCACCAAAAGCATCTACCTGTTTATTCAAGAGGCAAATCCTCTAAGAAGTCATCTGCAGCCCACAGCATCTGTCTCAGTGCAGAGAGGATCAGAATATCCTTCAGAGGGTTCAGCTCCCACTCAGAGACATAATTGCTGACCACCAAGATGTCAGAAAGAGCAAATCCAAGTTTTCTTTGGACTGTCTCTAGCTGTCATACAGAAATTAAAACACAGGGATCTTGACACAGTTAAACAGATATGGCAATGTAAATTATGAAAATAATAACAAAAAGTAGGAGCTTAGCAATAATTTTACTATTGTTAAAAAATTGAACATCTGACCCCATAAAGTAGTTTCTGGAAGAACTTCATTTTGTCAGGTTCTAATATCACTGATAATTTTCATTTAGAATACATGCAACAGATTCATTATAAATTAGAAACAGAAAGTATAGTTTCTATTAGAGAAACTTCTATGAAATTGAAGTATTTTCCACATACACTAGAGTCCATGATTTTCCTGTTTCTCTTCACAAATTATTCTCAGAATAAGTAGAGTTGACTAGACTAATGCTTAATTCTGGCTTCGACTAGTTTGTCTCTGGAGCCGAACTGCCTGGGTTCACAATATGGCTCTGTCATTTCTTAGCACTGTCAATAAACATTGGAAATGCTGTATTCTGTGTGCCTTTTTCTTTCTCATCTATACAATGTAGTAATGACAGGATACATTTCATAGGATTGTTATTAGCACTGAATGAGAAAAACTATCACATATTTAGTACTTAATAAATATTAACTATTATTACTTTTTGCAACTGGTGTCCCCACTGCCACATCCCTTTGACTCTAATGTATTCTGCCCACAGTGGCAAACAGATTAGTTTCTATGAAGCTTAGCTTTGAACATATTGCCACCCTTTCAAAAAATTGCTATGATTCCCCACAATGCAAAAATTAAGCAACATTATCTCATGCAAATATTCCTTTCTCATTTTATCTCCCTCTGCAAAGACCCAGTCCTTCACTAAATTGAGCAACTCCATGCCTCCAGGCAGGCTGCTTTCTCCTCCCTTAAGATATTGACTTTCCCCCATTTGTCTCTTCATTCCCTACAATAATTCTCCTTGAAAGCCATTTCCCAGTGCCTCTTCATTAGTGAAATCTTCCCATGTGACATTTTCCTCCTCTAAACTTCGAAGGCACTTTGTTTTTAGTCATGTCATGTTACCTATCATACTTAATCATATCATATTGTTTCGTCAATTTTTTCTTATCCCACTTCCCCACCCTCTCACCCACCTATGAAATGATAAACTTTTTAGAGCAGGGGAACTGTTGTAAGTATCTGGAATCTAATTACAGACTATCATACCAGCTTGATCTTAAGGTAAATCAATAATAGACTTAACTGAATTAAATTACAATGAATGGAATTATTAATCAGTATCATTGTAAAGATTATATAGGTAGAGATAGAGATAGATATAAACACACATGTCTTTGTGTACATTTAATTTTTAAAAAATTGAGAATGAGTCCTAATTATCTAAGAAATTATTTTAATTCTTCTTAAATTCAGTATATGTCTATTTTGTTTTTTATACAAATGTAATGTTATCATAGTGACATATCCAAAAAAAATGTGTTTACATGAAGCATAATTCATTACCTTGAGTTTCACAGGCACACAGCTATAGATGTCTGGGAAGTCACCTACTGTAATCAGATCCATGCTATCCACATGAGTGAGCAAAGCCAGATGTACYACACCTATGTCAAACAGATACATATTGTTTTTATCATCACACACAGCATCAGTATTTTAAAGTTAATTAACTGTCAACCAGGCCATAGGTTCCCCACGGAACAATTTTAGATTTGGAAAGTTCCCCCACATCCACCCCTCAAAAAAAATTCTCCTGGATTATTCACAGTATCTGGAATTTCTCTGACATGAGAAGTCCCCTTCATTGCATTCCATGGTGAGAAATGAAGATAAAAATAAAACTACATCTTGGGAAAGGTAAGTAAAATTTATGCTACAATATTACTAATTCATATTATAGAGAAAAGACCAAAGGGCTCTAATGAAGATGTTGGGGAGAAGAGACATCAAGGAGACAGAATGCATCAGAACTTCACACATAAAAAGTTTTTAGCAAGCACCTCTCTATACACCACCATTGCAAGATTTTAAATTTCAGTGAGCAGGTAAATCCATCATTTCTTTTTTCTAATTTGATCAAATTTGTGAAAAACTGACTCATTCCCACTCAAAACACATAAAGCCAAGAAAAGTCAAGCATGGGGCATTTTAACTCCCTGATCCTTTTTTCTTTCTCCAAAGCCTTTCTGCTGCCTCTCCCTATAAAACAGATTACTTTTCTGCTTCTTTGTGTTTTTCTTGCTGTTAAGTACAGTTAGTAATGAACAGTGAGGTGAATAGCAAGGCCATGGGTCTTCTTTAAATTGCTTTTTTTTTTTTTTTTTTTTTTGTCAGGTGCTGGGGATCAAACTCAGGGCCTCACACTTTAAGAAATCACTCTACTACTGAGCCACATCCCCAGACCCTTTAAGTTACTTCTCAAGTTTCTATAAATTCCTTCCAAGGCAGATGTGTAAATAACTTGTAGCAGATAACTWGTAGGAAAAACATCAGATGCACAGACCTTGAGAATAAGCAAACAGAAGCAAAAGGAGCTCACTGGAGAGCTAATTGGGGAAATATATCAAGAAAGAAGGATTAATGGGACTAACTCTTGACAGSGCGMACTRAGGTCAAGGTAAAGCTAGCCATTATGGCCATAGGTATCTCYGTATATTTCATAAGAGAGATTTCTTTAGTAACGCAGACACWATTAGGTAACTCCTRTCCAGCCACTGACCCCAGCACCCACACTAACATAGGATCAACTGTAGAGGAAGATCCCCTGAATAGGATGGGCACCATGACAGTTCCACAAAGGACAAAGTAGTGTTAAAAACTCCATGGCCTGGGAGCTGGGGTTGTGGCTCAGTGRTAGAGCACTTGCCTGGCATGTGTAAGGCACTGGGTTCGATACTCAGYACCACATAAAAAAATTAATAATCAAAATAAAKATATTGTGTCTGTCTACAACTAAAATATTAAAAAATAAAATAAACTCCATGGCCTGACGTGAAGGAAGAGTTGAACACATGATTGGCAAAGAGCAAAGAAGGAGGACCCAAATGTACTGATTTTATTGATTAAAAAGCTGAGGCATAGAAAGGTCATGCCAGTGAATCAGGAGAGATTCAAATTTGCRATTACGTAAGTCCTTCATCCTGCCCTACCCCCAAAACATTCTGCAATAAAGTCTAGTCAATTACCCTTAGTAGCAAAGTGGATAGAGACTCACCACACTTTATCATCTCCCTTCGTATTCTCTTGATCTTTGCCACCATCTCACCAGAGAGTTGTTCAACAGAGTTGGCATCAAACACAAATGCCACACAGTGGATTCTGTCCTGCAGTGATGGGGAATGAATATAGTTAGGATGCCTTGATGTGATGGGTTCCATAGAATCAAACTGTAAGGRAGAAAGAAAACAATGTATGAATCAACAAATATTTATGAGCATATGCTATGTACCAGTCACTGTACAAGTGAACAAAACAGTGAACAAAAGAGACAAATCTCTAATATTACAAGGGTAACAATTTGGTAGAGAAAATCGTCATTATGTATGTAGGTGGCTGCCCTTTTACCTAGTCAGATAAGGCTTCTGTGAGCAAGGGACACACAACATGAGGGCTAGAAAAAGGCAGAGTTAGTCTAGAAAAAGTATTGTAGATAAAAGAAGTAATGTGGGGAAAGACAGATGGAAAAGAATTCACAGAAAGGTAGTATCATCAGGCAGAGAGTGGGAAGGGAAATGCTTTAAGATGCAATGGATGTCTTTACTCTTAAACTAGCAATTGCTCTGCTGGGATCTGTCCTACAGATAAAGTAGCAAAATGCAAAACTATGTAGAGAGAAGACAAGCCTGTTYGCCAAGGACTATTTGTAGCACTAAAAATCTGATATATCCATAAAATACAGTGTTCTAACCACTTCTCTAAGAAAAGGAGAAGCACAAATCTATATGAATTTTCTTATATATTAAAGAAGTAAACTGTAAACTTTTCAGGATTACTTGTAGAAAAAGGGAAGGAAATTATTTGAAGGTGCAGGGAAAGTAGATTCCTTGAATACTAAAGAAACAACTTGTTATTTCAAAAGTTCATAAAGTGGACAAAAATTCAAGCATATTTCAAACTTTTCTTTTGTATAACCACAAAATATGTAGWTGAGGGGAAGTTTTTCCTTCATGTGTGAAAGGATGAGGAATGATAAAAGTAGAATATCCACCACTCTTACGTCCTTATTAGTAAATAGATATAGAAATTGAACATGAGTAAATAACAACACTAGAGAAGCAAGAAAACCCAAAACATTTATGTCCTCATGAAAGAAAACAACACCATCTATGAAGTAGAATCTGATTCAGAATACATGTCCATATTCAACTACCAATGGTCAGGATCTACAGAAAACAGAGGACTGTGTAAACCACACAGAAGGATACAAAAAGTAGAGTACAGAGTGCATAGAAGTCTACAGAACATCCAACCGGATATCTTAAAACAAATTTTAAGAAAAAATAAAACATATAAAGACAGGATATATAGGCTAAAAGGGATGGAATATATTTGATTTATTTTTCAGAAAAAGTATTACATGTCTGATACTTTTATAAGACTATTAGAGATTTGAATATTGAGCAGTATTTGATGAGGAACAAATGAACATGTTAGATGTGATAAGGGTCTTTGGCTATGTTTAAGGAAAGATATATGCCCCTATGTATTTATTCGTATACTTTTTTAAAAAGCAAACTGACTGTTATTTTTTTATTACCTCTATCTCCCTGTGTAATTGATCTTTTGCTTCTTGGGTAAGGAGAGTAACTAAGAACAGAGTAGGGAAGAAGAGCATGAGAAGAAGACTAACATTAAACAGGGATGAGAGGTGGGAGGGAAAGGGAGAGAAAGGGAAATTGCATGGAAATGGAAGCAGACCCTCAGGGTTATACAAAATTACATACAAGAGGAAGTGAGGGTAGAGGGAAAAATAATACAAGGGGGAGAAATGAATTACAGTAGAGGGGGTAGAGAGAGAAGAGGGGAGGGGAGGGGAGGGGAGGGGGGATAGTAGAGRATAGGAWAGRSAGCAGAATACAACAGACAYKAGTATGKCAATAWGTAAATCAATGGAAGTGTAACTGATGTGATTCTGYAATCTGTATACGGGGTAAAAATGGGAGTTCATAACCCACTTGAATCAAAGTGTGAAATATGATATATTAAGAACTATGTAATGTTTTGAACAACCAATAAAAAAAATAAATAAAATTTTTTTAAAAAAGCAAACTGAAACAGTATCTACAGGTTAACCCTATTTTAAAGAATGAAATAAATTTACATGAAAATTAAGTCTCTGCTGCTGAATAGAAACACTGGATATGTAAAGATAYGAATAAACTTTCAACATGAAAATGTTAATAAAATTTCAATCAAAATAACAAATCAAGCACAACCAAACGTAACACAAGAAAGCTTGCTTCAAAAAGGATATATGATAAATTGTCAAGAAAAACAAGTCATAAATAAATAATAAATGTGACTTATCGAGTGATTAATTGAGAAATAATTGGCTCCTATGGTAATTAAAAAATTAATATGGAAAATTAAAATGATATCTTAAAGGAATAGAAAAATATATCAATAAAACAAACCAGAGAATAAATGAACAGATGATGGTGGCTTTGACAACAAATATTTATTTCTCACAATTCTGGAGATGGTGAAATCTAAGAGCGAGGTACCAGAAGATTTGGTGACTATTAAGGTTCCTCTTCTGGTTCACAGACAGCTATTTCTATCCTTGAAAGCAAAAGAGATTGCCTCCTAAAGCCCCACCTGCAAACCATGACTTTTTTGTAAAAAAGTTCATTTAACATATGAACTTTGGGGTGGTGGAGGACACAACCATTCAATCCTCAGCAYCCGGAGCTGAGATGCTCAAAGGGTCAGAAGGATTTCTGAAATTACTTAACTTACAAGCTTCTACACTGGCTGCAGTCTACCTACCTTCAGACTTCTATTAYGAAAGAAAAATTACCTTATGGGAAGTTGAACAGAATTTATGGCTGTTATGAAGCCATGACAGAAAGTCCTCGAAATATCTTTATTCTTTGTGAAATTCACCACCAAAAATGAACACAGAAATTTCAACAAGTATATTTTAAAAAGAGGAGTGCTGATGCACTAAGTTAAATCAGGCTCTGATGTCATGGATAACAGGCAAAAATGCACATTTTACAAATCAATTATAATTTCTTAATGATTAGCTTAATCCTACCTGATATCTGTCAGGAACATGGCCTTTCAAGATGGAGACTATGTCTTCCTCACACAGGCCTTCCTTCTCACTCAGCCCCACTGAGTCACACAGAGTAAAGGGCAGGCGTTGGCCATCATTCCCATSCTTAATGGGATATGTCCTGTACTAAAAAGGGAACAAACAAACTTCAAATGTACGCTTTTTTTTGTTGTTGTTGTTGTTGTAAAATCTACATGGGATGAAGCTAATCAGCAAAAGCATTTTCAAAAATAATTACCTTGAAAAAAGAAGAAAAGGTTGAGTAGCCTAAAATATACCAACCTTCTTAGAAATCCCAGTTGCATCACAGCCCACCAGCACCTGATTTGTCACATGGCCTCGAAAAATAGATTTCACTGAGTTGATAAAGCTAGATTTCCCAGCTCCAGTTGGACCCAGCAGCAGAATTCTTATTTGGTGAACCATGTCTTTATATGGCTTATAAGTACTCATGGCAAACAGCAAGGTCCTCTTGAGCCTATTTAAACACATTTTTTTTTTTTACAGTGACTGAGATTAGATCACAGGAATTTACCATAAATTTTCCTAGAATTTATTTCTTTTCCTATGTATAATTTGTCTTATTATTAGCAGTTTTTCTTCTTGCACAAAGACATGTAAATGACCTCTTTTAAATTCTACTCTAAAAGAAGGAAAAGCAAAAATAACACTTGAAACTAAAGTCAGAAATAAAACTTTTCAGACTCAAGCTAAAAAACCATACATTTTTAGAAATAAACATCAGCTGTTAAACATGAAGATAAATAAAAAAAAATCTCCCAAAAGCATATTATATTACATTTGAAGTTTATAGAAGTTAAGGATTTCTAATATGTCTTTGTACATCATTAATAGATTTTCTCTAGCTAAAACCAACCATTTTTTCACAGTTCTCCAAAGTAAGCAAAAACACAGACATTCCATCAAATAATTTTTAAAGTATATAATAACATTAGAATTTATTCTCTCTACCCAGTGTTGTTCTTTTTTTTTTTTTTAGAGAGAGAGAGAGAGAGAGAATTTTTAATATTTATTTTTTAGTTCTCGGCGGACACAACATCTTTGTTGGTATGTGGTGCTGAGGATCGAACCCGGGCCACACGCATGCCAGGCGAGCGCGCTACCGCTTGAGCCACATCCCCAGCCCCCCAGTGTTGTTCTTGTTCTTGTTTCACAATCATACTTTTAATTCATTCTAGACAATCTGCAAATTATCTGTGATAATTTGTGYTGCCATTTTTTATTGATAGAATCTATCATAAAATAAGTCAAAAATCATGAACAGAATAGTATACTGTTAAAAATATTAACTTACTCAGTGACTCCTTCTTCCTTTCTTTTGTCCAATAAATCTAAAGGAAAGAAAAAATAACGTAGATTATGAATTGTTGAATGATTGATTGTCTGAATGAATATGAACAAATTCACTAGGGACAAATGCACAAATAGCCTTGCCATGAGGATAGTGCAGTATAGTAAAAAGCAGGCTGAGGAAATGCTGGCAAATCTCATTAATATCATCTTGTTTGCAAAGAAGAGAGCTAGGGGCAAGATGGGCACTGGAAGACTGTTGTCCTCAGATCTTTCTTCACCCAACTGCTTATCAACAGTGGACCATTCATTCTAACATGGGCCTTAGGGGTGGGGGTGCATTCTGAAGCTAGAGCTATAGGAAGGCAGATGCAGGGGAAAGACTGGGAATGCTCCAAGGTATTTTCCCTGAAAAAAATCCAACAGGTCTGAGATGATAATGTACAGAGATACTCAAACGGCAAGGGGGAATCTGACTTTCTTCAAAACCTGCTATCAACAATTGGAGCTCTAGGAAGTTCATGTCATATTCCCCCTCACCCCAGCAGAATAGAAGATAGGGCAAGTGATGTGGCAATCAAAGAACAGTGAGTGGTCGAGGTGTGCCAAGGACTTCATTCAGACCCATGCGTTTCAGACCCACAGGTTTTTGCTTCTGGGAAAGGGACATTGTTTTGTTGTGGATTTAAAACCAGAAGGATTAGGTTTAGAGATACTGGCAATTCTTTTTAAACTATAGAAAAAGAATAGAATGTGAAAACCTTGTTTATATGGCCACATGTAAAGTAACAGAGTAAACTTCATTAAATTATCCAGGGTAGAATTCATAGATTTCATTCAATGACTATAAAAACTAGAAAAGAATAACTATTGACAAACAGAAAAGCAACTTCTTGGTATTTTACAAAGCATTTTCTTAAATAAATATGATAACCAAAAAGAAATGTAAAAACCAAAATTATAAATACATACCAGTTCACAGTACAAACACCTTATGTCAAGTTTGTGATGAAAGCACATTTTATTAATGATAAGAAAGAAGAAAAGTTGTGAAAATAGAACATAGGAACAGAAACAATAAGTGAACCARTCTTTGGAATATAAAAATGAATAATTAATAAAGATAAATTTTAAAACTAGAAAAAGGATACTTATTAATATGATGATTAATTATTCTAAAATGTGAAATAAATTACTAATGTAATCTAAAGAAAGCCAAATTCACTAAATGTTGTGCCACCATGCACATATCAGAATAGTACATGTTTTAAAATTGTTAACATAAAGCATTGAAGAAGATTTAAAGTAGATAGAAACTCTCATATACTATTTGTCATAACAGAAATAGGTACAACTAAATTAAAATATTTTGTTAGTATCCACTGAAGCTGAACATAAGCATATGCTATAACCTTATAATTTTATTCTTGCATTCTTTAAAAATATGCATATGTGTGAACCATATATGGTTTCATCATAATGTACTTTGTAAAAATGAAAAGGGATGACTCACTATGCAGAGAAAGAGTTAGAGCAGCTAAATTATGCCTTCACTTACTGTGCTAGGGAGTACTCTTAGGGAAAGAAAAAAGACAAATGACCTAGACCAATTTCCTTAAAAATATACTTATAATTTTACATCCTTGTAAATAAACTAATGATATTTGCTACAAGGAAGAGTACTCACATTTTGAGTATCCTTAACGGATGGCACAGAATTATATACAGTAGATAAATGTAGATCTCGTGAATTTACAGGCCATACCTTCCTGGACAGTGCCATGTAAGCTTGTGTATATGGGTTCCACAATCTTACCACCTTTGCATGTGTAAGGTGACCCATAATTTTCACTTTGCAACCCTGCCTGCTTTTGTCCAAGAAACTCATGTCCAATTTGGAAAGGAAGAATCTAGATAGACACACAGAATATACCAGTACTCTTTCTTCCTTGAGATTTTTGATTGTCATTATCTTTGGAATTACGAGTATAGCTTCATATATAGATATCTGATTTTTAAGAGTCATTTTTTTTCAATGCAATCCTCTATATTAGCACAATCTCACAAATATACCAACAACTGAAGGGGYCAGAAACAGAAGAGCACATGATCTGGTATAGCTCTGTATATCTACCATTAAAATATAGGAAATATAAATTAATGTTAATATGGACAGAATAACGTTTGCCTCAGGCAATAAAAGGAAGATGTCATAAAGGAGTGGTCTGACCTAAAGGTAAAATCTATTTCTTCATCTGAGTAGTGGTTATAAGAGGGAGTTTTATTTATAGGTTTGTCAGTTGGTATACTTATCAATTGAGTACTTCTTTTTATATGTTGTATTTCAATAAAAAGTTTATTTAACTGATCTAAGATGACCAACATCATGATATATCCAAGTTAATTTACTARATTTTTTAAAAATTAAGTGTTTGGAGCAGTCAATAAGAAAGATTGAATCACTCATAGGGGGGAAAAAAAGTAATAATAGATAAATTTGACCTTAGGTTTTCCAATGCAACATCAGTACAGTGGAAATATTACAATTACTCGGCCCCCCAAGTAAAATTTGATATAGAAATTATGTATTCTCATACAGTCATTCCAGTATAATCACCACAGACAATTATTTTGGAACATGCAAATGCTCAAGAAATATCATCCCCATTATACCTTCTTTAAATGGGTAGATATAAATATTTCATGTAATAAACGTAAATGACCAATGCACATATACTTGTTAGTGAATGGGATAAACAAACACGAAAATGAGGAAACATCCTTTCACCATCAAATCAGCAAATGAAGTTTGATAATATCAAAGACTAGCAAGGATACAAGGAAACTGTTATTTTCATAAAACTATTGGGGATGGTATTGACAAATGAAACTTTTGAAAACAACTGTCCAAATGCAAATGTGCATCGTCCTTAAACAGAAGCTCCACTTCTGGAAAGCCAACATTAAAAAGTATTATTTTGAGCACAAAGTTAACTGCATAAAGATAGTAAAGGAGGAGCATTGTTCACAACAACAAAAACTGGAAACAACTTAAATGTCCTTTAGTGGAAAAGTAAGTAAATTAATTATTGTTTTTTGATTGGTGGAAAACTCAGCTGAGTAGCAACCTAAATGTTCATCACTGGACTTGGACGAATCAGTTTTAAAATATGGTATACACCCCACAACAGAATATTATTTAACCTTAAAAAGAAGGAAATCCTGACATTAGTGACAAYGTGTGCACCTGAAAGTTATTATGTGCAGCAAAAGCCAAATAGCAGGACAAATACTCATGATCCCACTTATATGAGGAATCTAAAATAGTCAAATTCATAAAAGTTGAGAATTATGGCTGTCAGGGCCCATAGAGAAAAAGGAGAAGTGGAGACCAAAAGATAGTTTAATTATGCAAACTGTTTAAGTTGCGAAGGTCTACTACACAGCATAATGCTTATAGTTAATAATACTGTGAAGTACACTTAAAAAATTTTTAAGAGGATACATCTTCATATATATACACACATACACACACATATACACACATACATATATATGTACACATATATCTCCAWGTTTTTATAAGTTGTATTTCAATAAAAAAGTTTGTGTAACCGATCCAAGATGACCAACATCATGATATATCCAGTTAATTTACCAGATCTCATATATGTATATTTTATATACGTATTTCTTTTTAAATGATGATTGTGTGTTAGCAAGCAATTTGTAGCCWGTTTCATTGAGGACCATCTATCCAGAGAAAAAGGAGACAGATCAATTGGAAACCTACAAACATAAAGAGAAGAAATCTACACACATTTGCATGATCTGATTAAACCTACCTTCACATCGAAAAACTTCACATTCCTGAAAGGTTGTAGTACAAGGTTGAGGTAGACCAAGTTCTTCATTTACTTTTGAGCTCATAGTTACCCTTTTATTTTCTAGATCCATCCAGAATCCAGCAGGAGGCTTATTAATATCAACTCTGAAGCCAAATGGATCTTTATACAAGTCATAGAACAATGTCTCTAGTCTATGTGATCCTATTTTGTATTCTGAAATCTCAGTCTCTTGAAGTGCAACAAGAATGACAGGAACTTCCCTTTCTTCCTGGAGACTGTCTAGCAGATATGCTCCAGTAACATAATTTTCACTGTAAATCACAGTTATCGTGGGTCCTTGGTTACAGCATTTCTCCAACAAGTTTTTAGAATAGAATTCATGGACACTAGCCTTGTAAAGAAGGCTAAACTGCTTTCCTCCAAAATGATGTTGCAGTCTCTTTTCTTGCAACCATGTCAAACGAGTTGTCACTGCCATACTTCTCAATCTGGTGAAAAACCCAATATAGTTTCCATTAAATATTGAAAATAGATCCGGGTACTTCCAAAAGCTCACATTTGTTTTTCTTATTAACATAACACAGGAAAGGAACAAACACAAGGTGAGCAAGTAGCAAGAAAAACCATTACTCAGCTTTTCATTCTAAAAATTATTTTTAGAAATCAGAAAAAAAGAAAACTTTTGTTTAATTGTAAGGCAGTAATTTACCTGTTTGAAGAGTCTGTATGAGGACTGGAGCAGAAGCTTGCTACTCTGTCCAGAACGCAAAGCGGGCACAAAATGGGAGGGGTAAAAGCTTCGGCAGCTTGATGTTTGGGAGACTCAGGAAAGGAAACCGAAACACAGCAAGCCCCACCCAACTGGCAGTGTGCCCACTCCCCGAGGCAAAGGATTGTTAACTGATCCAGTGCATTTAGACAGTAAATTTAGCTAAAAATAATATTAGGAAGAACCTAGATATTGATATAAGAGATCGGGAAACATATGTTCACTGACCTAAGAATTTTTTAAAAGGAAATTCAACTTGTTTCTGCATAGGGACTTGTAAAAAAAATGCCAACTGTTCTACCTCCAAACTACATCTCAAATTCATCCACTTCTCCTGATCTCTGCTATCAATTTTGTTCCAAACTAGCATACTTCCTCCTATAGATTACTACAATAGCCTCCTGATTCAGTCCTCTGCTTTTCTGCTTGTCCCCTCCAATTCATCTTCCTCCCCATAACAGATTTGTAAGGCATAAACCAAAATCTGTATATTTCACACTTACTTCACATTGCTGACCATCACAAATCTGTTACATATCCCTTTTAAATACCTTTTTAAAAAATTCAAATGTATATTCTTTACATTGTTGGGCAGCCACTCTCCAGCTCCCTGTTGTCCACACAGATCCTCCGTTGCTTTATATCTGACTGGTATATTTACTTTTGCCCAGAAAGGCATATAAGGTCTTCACCCTACCAAAAAGAAGAGCAATATCAAAAATATATATTTTATATTTTAATCAACTTGTGGATATTATTTACTTAGTTTTAAAAATACCATAAGTTGTTAGATATTTCTTATTTGCCAGGCACTTTGCATATATCTTACTTATATTTCGATAACCTATGAGTAAGATAACCAATGTTGTYGCCAGTTTTCAAGTAAATAAACAGAACCTGAGAGTTAAATGATTAGCTAAAGATCATCCAGTTACTAAATTTCATGGTCAAGATTTGAACAGAGGTATAATGGATTTACATTTGTCAAAACATTTAATTATACATTCTTAAGGTGTGCAATTTGGTGCATGTCAGTTATACATTACTATAGCTTTAAAAAAAAGAAAACAACTCCACACTCTTCAAACAACATATTACCTTGTTTCTCTGTATTGTAAGGAATATTTTAATACAATCAAACTTCTTGGCCAGAGTTTAAAGGCAATGGCATCCATAAATAAATTTTTAAAATGTACTCCATTAATATGAAAACAAAGTAAAAAAAAAAATGTGATCTAAGAGATCTCCATCCTTCCACTTGAGTAGAAATCCCTTCCCAAAAGTCACTGTTAACTCCAATATCTTCAGTTTGCAAAGTAAGCTATTAGTTGTATTCCCAACTGTGAATCTGTCTTTCAATAAATAGTTATTAAATGCCAACTGCAGATGCCAATAAAGTTCTTGCTCTCAAGAAGCTAGATTCTTCTCTGGGAAGCAGGAAGTCAGCAAACAAATGTTATCTAAGTACAAGTGCTATGGAGAAAAGAAAAGGAAAGGAGTGAGGAGAGGGAATAATCGGCTGCTTTAGATCTTTCCAGGAGATGACATAGGAGAAGAGTGCTGAATGGAGTAAATGTGAGGACCATGGAAATATCTAGGGGAAGAGCTTCACAGACAGAAAGGCGAGTCTGAATGCCCATGGATGGCAGGCTATTGCAGAAAGTAAATCATTTTGATTTGAGCAAAGTAGGTTTGGAGGGAAATAATAGCAGTGGACACTGTGGCTGCTCTGTGGAGAATAGATCATGAGAAGAAAGGACAGGAGAGTTACAAGCGTATTGCAATATCAGATGAGAGATAAAAGTAGTAGGTGCCCACCAGAGCAACAATGATGAAAGTAGTGAAAACTGGCCATATTCAGGATCATTTTAAGCAAGAGAATTTACTATTAGTTTGGGTATGGGGTGGCTGACCCTGATCCTGTCCTGTATTTCTCAGCAGTCTCCCTCTATTGACTACCCCCAACCCCTAGGCTTCCCCTGTTCTGTTCCTCTCTACAACTGTGTCCAGTTTCTCTTCCTTTTCCCTTCCYAAGATGGTTAACTGTTATGCAGCCTCTACAGAAATGGGAAAGATAGATAGCTCTCTTCTGTTAACATTTTAATCAATAATTGTTCTCTAAATTCTCTGTTCAGATTCTTTTATGGCCTTGACTCCAAAAAGTCTACAATGAAAATTTAAAAGGCTTCTGAACATTGTTTCTGGTTGGGTTTTTTTGTTTGTTTGTTTGTTTTGTTTGTTTGTTTGTTTGTTTGTTTTTGATTTGTTTTGTTGTTTCTGTTTATTCACTCCCTTACTTAAACTAAATTGTCAGGAGGAGATGTGATTCTGGGAAATGAGGGAAGAATATGTGTAAAGAAGTACAGAAAAAAAAATACATAAATTGCTATCTTCCGATGTTGTCTAACTCTATGTGATGTGCATTTGAAGTGTGTGAAGTCCTATCATGCAGATGAATTAYTTTTTCTTCTTGTTCTTTTCAGTCATGGGATTTAACAATCCACGTTAAATCTAATACTATCTACCCGGCATAATAGAATCTCATATATTCTGAGCCCCATAAATGCGTTTATCTTGGTATACTTATTTAAATTGTAGTGGTCCATTTACAAGTAAATTACTTTCACACCATACCAACAAATGGAAGACAAATGAGCTCAGAGGCTTAGACACATGTTTACTTGCATTATTAAAATCTCAGCAGGCATTATCATGGAATGTGCAAAAAAAACACCACTTGTTTTAGAAAAAATGTATATTTAAATATTATTTTTAGTACAGATCTTTAGTTCATTAGTAGACTTCCGATCTCTGCCCATTTCTGCAATCTCCTTTTGCAGTTTCATTCACATGATTTGTGTCCTGAATTCTGAAACAGCTTGTATTTGAATTGTRTTGAGGAAGGAAATAGGTTGAAGTTTACACCATAATAACAACCTTAATCCTATTTCTATGACATGGTTGGCCTCAGTGTCATGAATTTTCTTCATCACCAGAGAAAAATCTTGCAATGGTTTGCAACTAATGAGATCTGTTTAATCTAAGACCCTCCATAAACTGGTCAGAGACTAATATATTAGGGATGAGCCTTGAAGGCTTTCAATTTCCCATGACTTTTAGGGCTACCATGAGGACTTTGACCAGCCTTGCCATCTTATACTTTAGCATCAGATTGAGCTATATCTTAAAAGATGATTATTCATCAACTTATCTCTTAAGTATTGGAGCTCACTTGGGTCCCTCCATCAATTTTTTCATTATTATCTCATTGTGAGCCTGCCTTTTTCTATGAGGAAGTGCCGCAGTCTGGCTGGGCACAATTCAGGAGCCACTTGTCAAAAGAAACTAACTTTATTTTTAGAACTACAACCGCCAAACAAAAAGCTCCTCGGGGAAAAAACCCTCAGAGCCCAACTGCCACCACTGCTTCCCACAAGCCTCTCACCCACACAAACCTCACCACCTCCCACAATCCTCCTGCTCTTGAGGCCGATTGGCTGGGTCGTGTGGGCGGGGCCAAAGAAGTCCCCCAATGAGAAGCTCCGTGGTCTGAAGGGCAGGAAAACATCCCAATGAACATCACCGCAGAGGAGCCAATCAGCTAGATGTTGCTGGGGCCGCTGTGAGCCAATCATCAGCTGGCAGTCTGAAGTTTGCTGGCAGCTGGAAGTTTGCTGGGGCCCCTTTGGCTGTGGCTCTCAACAAGGAAGTAACATGATAATCCTTAAAATTGTCCTTCTAAAAAAGATATCAGCTTAAGTATCATCCAGTACAACCCCTCTTACTATTTTATTGAGGTAGAGGTTGGGCAAGTTTGCAAAAAGAACTTCTATTAGAAACAATCACTTTCTAACACAACAACCTGGCCTATCCACCTAAATCTCACAGGCTCAGGCATTGATGCTTAAGCTGTTTCCACAGCTTTAGCTGTTTTAGGATGATATGCTACCTTGCGCCATTCTTATGTTTTATCTACTATGTCCCTTAGCACTATTTTTAGAAGGAGTTTAGTGACTTTGACTGAGCTATATACTTAGTTTAATGTTAAATTTTGTAAAATTTCAAAACTCCTGGGTAGCCTCTAAAATGTGGTCAGGTGATAAGTCCCATCATCCTTAAGAGTGGTAGAGAAAGATTAGAGGATCCACAAAATTAGGGAAAGTCCCCTCCCAGATAAAAGAGAACGCACGGGCTCTCTCTCGTCCAGCGAGGAGGTCCACGGAACAGGGCAGAGGAGAGTGTGGCTGTGGAGTCACTAATCAAGACCTCCGGAGACCAAGCAGGAAGCAGGTCTAATTTTATTGTGCAGTTACCATGTGTATATACTCAAGGCAGTAGCTAAGCAGATTACAGGCAGCCACCAATGCAACTGCTGCTAACTGTCCTTGCAGCGACCAATTGAAGAGTGGGCCATGGAACAAGCATAAGAACTGCAACACATGGCCTTACATCCAGGGCTGTGCCTTCAGGGTAAGCAGCCTGTCACTCACATCATGCCAGGCACGAGRGGAATGACCTGCCACTCAGATGCCCTTAACATATGTCATGTATGCAGTACTCCATGCACTTGCCCCACAAGAGAAGTTTCTCCCTACTTAAAGCCCTCTCTCTCACCAAACTTTTCCATCTTAAATTCCAAATGGACATTTAATTCCACTGCATGCTTATATACCTAAAACATTATAGAGCATCATTTTGCTACTATTTTGCTCTTTAGCACAAAAAGGAAACTTAAAGTCTGTACATTCATGTTCCCAGATACTATGGTTCACAAGTTCAGTGCCTCGATGTTTCTTCCTCTTCACCAGTATAGTACTTCCTGCTCTTCCTTTTCAGGATCCCTCTCTCCTACATAAAATTGCTCCACAGCTACCCTTAATACAGAATAAAGAARCCCCACCTTCTGTCCAGATGTTTTCCTGGACTGCCTCATTCACATTGTGGAACAATGGTTAATCTTCCAACACCTTCAGTCTCTCCCAAACCACAAGGGCTGTGGCTTGTTTTGTTCCTCTGGATCATAAGGAGA